TGGGCGGGGCGGGTCCCAGGGGATCTACAGGGCGGGCGGAGCGAGCAGTTATGGCTGCTCTCAGTTCCGTCCCCAGCGGCTCTGCAACTGCTGCAAACCTCGGAGAGAAAGCTGCCTTCCCGCTTCTCCCGTTTGAGTCTGGGTCCCTAGAGACTCGTCCAGATCTGGAGCTCAGAGTCTGAAACTCCCTCCCGATTGAAAACAACAACCGCACCCTCCACCACCGGCCCGCTCCACACGCACTCCGCACCTTAGTATTTCACCTCCGCACTGCGCCTCCTCTGAGTCTTGGTATGGATTTCTCTTTCCTTCTAGTTGTAGGATTTCCACTCAGCCAGCCTTCCTGTGGTTCTGGGTGATGTCTGTTCCGTCTTTTAGTTGTATTTTTGAAGTGGTTGTTCGAGGCAGCAAACTCCGGCGTTAACCTATGCCGCCATCTTGGTTTCTCCCCCTGGCTTATTTATTTCACTTAACATAATGTTCTCCAGGTCCATCCTTTTTATAGTTGAGTAGTATTCCATTGTGTAAATGTACCATAGCTATTTTATCCACTCATCTACTGATGGGCACTTGGGCTGCTTCCATATCTAGGCTATTGTAAATATTGCTGCAGTGAAAATAGGGGTGCTTATATTCGTCTGAATTAGTGTTATGGGTTTCTTCAGATAAATTCCCAGAAGTGGAATTTCTGGGTCATAAAGCAGTTCCATTTTTAGTTTTTTGAGGTAACTCCATACTGCTTTCCACAGTGGCTGCATCAATCTGCATTTCCACCAACACCACACAAGGGTTCCCTTTTAAAAGCTATTTTAAAAGATATAAAATCCGCCCTACCAGCATAGCTCAGTAGTTGAGAGTTGACCTATGAACCAGGAGGTCACGGTTAGATTTCCGGGGTCAGGGCATATGCCTGAGTTGTGGGCTCAGTCCCCAGTGTGGGGTGTGCAGGAGGCAACCAATCGATGATTCTCTCTCATCGATGTTTCTATCTCTCTCAATCCCTCTCCTTTCCTCTCTGAAATCAATAAAAATATATATATTTTTTAAAAAAGATGTAAAATCTGATCATGTTGATTTGCTGCTTGAAACTCTTCTACTATTTACATAATACTTAAAATAAGCCTGAAATATTTAACTTGACCCACCACATTCCTCCCTTCTCCCAACCTGTGATATGGCCTCACTGCTTTCTGCTAAAGCCTCATATCTTGTCTCTTTTCCCTTGTTCACTATGCTCCATCTTATCTGGTGTCCTCTCTGTTCCTTGATTGGAGGAGGTGAGGAGAATAGATGCCAGGAGACCTGTTTTTAAGCCAACATGTACTTTAGGAAAGGACAAGATCCTTAATAATTAAGTTTGTGGCTCAGAGGGACATTTTCATAGCAGGAACTCATCACTTTTCAACTACTCATAGTAAATCAAGGGATAAATGCACATGAGTGTGGTCTGTGTGGACCAAAATTATATTCCAACTGAGAAAAGAAAATTTAGGACCAGGCAGTTATTACCTTTATATTTGGTAGCTTTCACTCAGTATGCCTAAAATGACTTTATTTCTATAATACCACCCATCTAGCATTTAATTATTTGTTAATTTTGTTTTTCATGTGTTAACATTGCCTCAGCAACTAGTTGGATCACAAAACTATCCAGGGCTTAGATGCTGTGCAGCCTGTTCTTGAGTCTGTTGGTTCCCAAGGCAGCTCATTCCTTCCTTCTTGGGATAGTTTTTTCTGCTAAGAAATTCTTCTCAATTTTACCTAATCTCTGGCCTGCAGTTCCACATACTGGCTCTCATTTTCTGTGGAAGCATAGAGAACAAGCCTAACTTCTCTTACCCCATTAACCTTTTAGCTAATGAAGTAGCTGTTGTAGCTCCCAGAATTTTCTTTTAAACATCCTCAGCTTCTTTTACTATTTATAGTTATATTTACTATTCTGGGCACTTTCTACTGATGATCTACTAGTTCAGTGTTTGAAGGTGTAATTTTGGGACCACCTGTATCTGAATCACTTAAGATACTTGTTTTAACAACTCCTTTGGGATTGAGATGGTAGATTGACTTGGTGGGGGCAGGTAGAAGAGGTTAAAGAGGGGATAAATGGTGACGGAGGGAGACTTTGGGTAGTGAACACACAGTACAATATAGAGATAATGTACTATAGAATTGTACACTTGAAACCTATATAATTTTATTAACCAGTGTCACCTCAGTAAAGTCAGTAAATATTGTGATGCTTCTTGTCAGTTGGAAAACAATTGCTTTAAATTTTCACTTCAGAAAAACTGGACAGTTTACTAAGAATTAATATTTGACTCTTAAATCTATTTAAAAAGATGGTACATTGACTTTTCTAATCTTGCTCACTATTGAAACCCCGCTAAAGCTACAGTGAAAACCCAAAAGGACAAGAACTTCAGGAAAGGAGACAATAGCAATACAATTTAGAAAACTAAATAGCCCAAGAATGAGTGGAAATTAATTTAGATTCCCAAGACTCATGGTCAACCTAAGTTGGCAGAGGGAAAAGCTGAAACCAATCATATTTGCCTTATAAATCCTCAAAAAAGCCAAGAACCGGCAATACCAGGTAGCTCTAGAAATTGGGATATAGGCTGAGAAAATAGGATGACTATTGCTGAGATGTATTTCTCCCAATGGATGCCATTCACCATGGGACACAAAGCAGATAATTTCTGAATAAAGTAGCACTTACATAAGGGAAAACATTCCTAGCATTTCTCAGGAAATTTGTGTTTATTTGAATCCCAAATTCTGAGGAAAGTTATTTATAAAGTAAGGACACAAAAAATAAATTTTTCTTAAGTATTAAACCTCAGCAGTTAATATTTTGGGATACCATTGGTTCTAAGAGCTCCACTGACATCCAATGGAAAGCAAAAGCAGCCATGCAGACACACTGAATAGAATGTAAAGGTGCACATTTCTGGGAACTAAGACAGGAGCATCTAAGAAAAAAATTATGATCTAAGCATCAGACTTACTTCTAGCTGTTGTTATATATATGTTTATATGTTCTTCCTGTTGCTAGTAGTGAGTTATAAATAGAATGACTATTAAGGTTATGTGCATATTATATTTCATATAGATCCTATGAGCAGACAGCAAGTTTGGGAGTAAAATAAATCTATAAATTAGCAGTTACAACGTGTTATTCTGTTTAGTACTGTTAACCTTGCTATGATTTTTCAAGTTGTGTATGTACCGTAGAGTCAATGTCTAGAGATTCTGCGCCATATTAAAGCTTAGTCCCAGTCCCGCATTTGGTGAGTTTAACTTGTGTTCCCAGCTGCAGTTTGTTGCTTTGCTGCTGTACCCAGGCTCCTGCCTGGAGCCTGCTTGAGGCATTGGCCATGCGGCTGCTAAGGCCATATGGCTATGGAGAGAACAGGTGAGCGCTTGGGTGGGGGGAGCATGGGTCAGGGGTGAGCACAGGTCTGGAGTTAGAGAGCGAGAGCTTTGTTCTCCTGGGTTTTAACCAGAAGCCTTTTCAAAATAACCAAATATCTTCCCAAGATTTCATAGGCTTGCATTGGGGTCCACCCCCTAACCAATTATCTTTTTCCTGGGTTAGACCGACAAGCCTCCATGATCCAGAACCTCCCCCTCGGCCATTTGGACTTATTGAGTATGTCTTAATCTCCTCCTGTCCCCGTCTCCCATACACACAATCCAGTACAGGACTGGGGAAGGGAGGGGTGTTAATCCCCTTGGAGGAATAATGCCACAATTTCTTGGGGTGTGAAGCTGTAGCTTCCCGGTGAAGCAAACAGGCCTTTGCTTCCCAGCTGAGTGTGGGTAACAATGTTTGGCCTTCCCTTTGCTCTCTTTCTTTTAGTAATTAGCTAACAATGGTAACACTTTACTTCACCTGCCTATGTGCCTGCTTCTAGCATATTAAGATGAACCATGGTTTTGGCAATTTGGCGGGGTAGTGTAGAGAAAATAATTCACTTTGATAGACTCAGCTGGTAAGACATAGCCCAATGCCAGGAGTAATACAATACAAAATAATACACAGTGGAGTCCAGCAGGGTAGACGGCCATTCATGGCAGTGACAGCCTCCATTTGCTGGCCCACTTCCTGTGGCTCCCCACCAGTTCTCCACAGTGCCGCAGCTCTTGTTTCTGCCGCGCGGCCTTTGCTTGCTGTTTTTATGGATCTGAAGCCCTTCTCCCACTCCTTCACCTTCCTCTTACTCGGAGTCAGTTTCCTTTGCTGATCTCCAGACAGGGCTGACCACGTCCTTGGTGTTGCTTCCTCTCCTGGTACACCCTCTGGTCACACTAACCAGGCTTCTGCTTGCCTCTAGGCACCTTTGTGCAAATTAGGAAAAGGCACCCTCCCCTTCTTCAAGATACTTCAGAGAACTTCCAATTGTTAGAAAACCATCTTAATAAATACAGGGTGGGGCAAAAGTAGGCTACAGTTGTCCATATGGAAAATAATACATTAATAAGTAATAATACAAGCGTAAACTCTGTGTTGCCCCTACTCACGACTGTAAACCTACTTTTTGCCGCATTTGTATATGAGTCTAACTTGTTTACTCTGTGGGTGGCACCCTGGTAGGGTTGTGACATGCCCAGTTGCACAGTTGTATCTCGTGGTCCTATTTGTGTTGTAATTATAGTGAATTATCTGGATTCCCCTCATCACTGTTTGAAAGCCCGCAACAACCAAAAGCAAAAGAAAGAATAAAGGTACATATACATGCCACATTCTTGTCGGTAAAATAGCAGGGAGGGCATACCTGACAAGGCTTTTGCACTGAATGTTACGAATATATTGTAATTCAGAGACACATGATTTTTTTTTGACATTTCAGTATTTCTGAAATCAGTGGGTATCTTAAAGTCAGTATATCATGGTTGAAAGCACAGTCCCTGGAGATAGACCACCTGGGTCTGAATCCCAGTTCTACCACTTACACGCTATTTGTGTGACGTGAGGTATGTTACTTAACCTCTCTGGAGATGATACCAATGGTTCCTACTTCGTGGGATCGTTATGAGAATTAAATGAAGTATTATATGTACAGGGCTTACAATAATACCAGGCACCTAAGTAAGAGATACAAATATTCACTATAATTATCAATATTATTAAAGGTTATGTATATATTTATTTCTACTTAACCCTGAAAAGCTGTTTTTAATCCATGGTGTACAGCTTATATTGATGGCATCTTGTTTCGGTGGGCTGCTCACAGGCCCATGATGGTGTGCACTGAGGTCACATGCTCACTGCCGCTGCAGTGCGCCCTCCCTGCCCACATCAGTTTTCTGGTTGCTGGTTTTGGATTTTCTTCCTTAAGGGCAGAAGAGAAAGGGGAAAACTAGGGCCCTTTATAGACAGGGCTTGTTTTAGAGGTTAAACTTAACTTCATGTTCACGTTCTAAGGCTTGGATTGGTAATAAATCTTGACTCTATAAAATTAGACACCAGAGAGAATTGGGTTTGAAAAAGTGATTTTAATGTAAATCATTTTCTAATTGCAGGGCAAATTTCCTTTGATGATTTTCAAGAAAGCCGTGTTACAAAGTGGCAAAAGGTAATGAATGTTCCTGGCCAGGTTCCCCACTAGAATCCTCCAGGGCACCCTGAAGTTAGACAGTAGATGAAAATTGCTGCCTGAATAGCTGTGGGTTCCTCCTGGTCATTCATTTTCACTTGTGGTTGTAACTGCACATGAAGGATGGGGTGGCTGTTCTCTGCAATGTTTCAGGATGTCTTCTATTCCATGCCTCCTGCTAACTTTAGGAACTACAGTCTTGTGAGGAACTCTGCAGAGTTCTTGCTCATTGTCCTACTCGGTTGAGGGCGCTTTCAAATTAGGCAAGATCTGTCTAATGCATTCTTTGGAGATGTTTTGACCATTTTCATTATTAGACTAAATGTTTATTTCCAGATTACATTACTTTAATTGACTTTACGTTAAACTTTGATAAATATTCTTGCATGCTATATTGCACCAGCTGAAACTCTTACAGCAGTTTTTGTACATTTATTTGAGGTTTCAGCTGCCTTTTCTTAGTTAAACAAAACTATATAATACATGGATAAGTGAAAACTTTACCTTGCCTCATTTTATAAGTTGATCAAAATTCTTTATATACATAAACCTGGATTCAAGGTTATTTCTGTATGAAACTAGTCAATTTTAGCACTACTTAAGGGTCTGTTTAATTGTTGGTTTCCAGAAAGAATATTCACTTGAGGAACTTTTTCCAACAGGCCTTCTTATGGATTTATTTACTGTCACATTTCTGGAAATAATAGGTAAACAGTTGTTATTACTCTCCATATTCCAGAAATCAGAGAAGCAGACAGTAAGAATGTGTTTACCTTAACTCACAGATTCAGCATTATACCCAGTTCTACACTGTAATGCCTCCCACTCCATTAGGCCACATAAAGGCTTTGTTTTCTAAAGAAGCTCATAAAATCTAAGGTTAAGTGTTCAGGACATAAATACTTATGGTCATTTTTTCCTTTACCTAAACTTGGAATTTCCATGTCAGCTCAAAAATCAATTAATCAATCAATCAACCAATCTCTCTCTCTCTCTCTCTCTCTCTCTCAAAATGTCAGCCAAGACAGACAAAGATAAATTTTTCTCACCTAGGGTAAGGGTGTCCGCATGCTGCTTGGGCAGTCACGGCAAACTAGAAGCCACAGAAAGAATCTGAATCACAGATGTATTTTGTTAGTTTTGTTTTTTTAAATTGGTTATAAAATTTTAGAATTTAGGCAATTTCACAGGAAAAACCATTTGAAAAAATTGGAAGACTCATTCCGACTTGGCCCACATGTCTGCTCTCATTTGTGTGACATTTTCTAGCCCTTTGGGCTTTTGAATTATAACCCCTGATATAAACCCATATACTGCTCTGTTTTATGGTTGAGTATTTTACAGCTTTGAGTCAGGTTGAATGGTCTCTGAGAATGAGGAGGTTTGGCCACATCAGGCCTACATGTTGCTCTTAGCCCCACCCAGACCTTCAGGGGATAGGAGTTATGCAAGGGTTGGCTATGGTACTCTGAATTGGCTGAGTTGACTCTTCTCTGTCTGTCCATTCAGCCTGAAAGTCATGACCACAGATTCCTCATCCCCAGGGTAGGACATTTTTCCAGATACAAAAGAAAAGCAGTCAGTGGCTACCCATTCAACGGCTTATATGATTAGCTATTGCCACAAAAGGAGCCACCATGACTCAAAGTAGCTGTGATTTTTGGCCGGGCAGCATTTGTCACACAAGTTGGGGTTCTGTCTGTCAAGACAGCAGGGCTAAGGCTTGCTCTATGCTCAGCCACTACCCCCATAGCATGGGTCCTGGATTCGGGCCACCCTCAGAAGGACACTTGCTTTGGCTCCAGAACCAGCCCTGGCATTCTGACAGGAAGCAAAGGAGGAAAGATGGCCTTGTCTCCTTGTAGGCTTCCTCCTTGTTTTTCTTTCCTTTTGGGCCCAATCTAGACCAACAAAGCCCTTCACACAAACCTGAGTGTAACAATAAATTTTAATCTTTTGTTTTTAAGGCTCTAGGAAGCAGGATGCCGCAAGTGCCTCTGGGAAAAGTGATCCTTTATACCAGTGTGATGACTAGTGGGGGCTGTGCCCTTGTGTATTACCTTACACAAAGTAAGTATCCAGCAAACTGCCTGAGGCATGGCCTCTTCCTAGCTCTCTTCCCCTGTTCCTCAATCATAGGAAATACTTCACATGCTCTCTGCAGATTAGAACTGTTTTTAGAAACCAGTACGCCATTCCATTCCTGTGGCCTACTTCTTATCCTATAATCCCAGTTTTTTAGGAGCCACAAGTGCAAATAAAAGTGTTGCTGGTGGAAATTGCAGTGTCAGGAGAATAGCATTTCCATGAACCCACGTGGGAGGATGAGGTCTGGTGGTAAGATTTATTTGGGTAGAAATAGAAGGCAACCCCCAGGTTCCCAGTGTCTCATCTCTGTCCATCGCCATGAAAATGTTTAGCCTTATCTTCATTAAGCCCAGTACAAAGTCCTGTGTCCAAAAGTTCTGTCCCATGTCAAAGCTTAGTCCAGTTTCTGCCATGTCTGTCCTTATCCAGCTAGCGTAGTTTGTTCCAGGCTGCACTCTGGCTGATGCTGCCATTGATTGGAGTCTGCACAACTGCTGGCCGAATGGCTGCTATGGAGAGAACTCCAAACAAATGGGGTGTGTGCTACCAAGCAAGAGAGAGAGCGCAAGAGATTTGTTAAATAAGCTTGGGTTATATTATCTCGGGCTTGGGAAGGACAAGGCTCCCTTTTAAAATAACCTATGAACTTTCCCATCTTTTGCTTCTGCTGGTTTCATCCCCCTAACCAATCCATTTCCTAGATTTTTTTCTGGGGGCTGTGTCCCTTATCCAATCTGATCCTCTTTCCAGGCTAGAAGGACAGGTCTTTATGGTTTCAATCTTAGTCCTTCTGTGCATGCCTCATAGTAGAATCACCTCCCCCTGTACAGTCTTGGCTTCTACTAGGCATGCGTCCAGCAGAGTAATTTCTTCTTTATTGTTCTGTCCCACCTCTAGTAATCCAGGGGAAATGGATCGATTGTTCCCTGGGGAATGTGTGAAGCTATAGCTTTCTAGTGAAGCAGGCCCAACATTGGATTCAATCTATCAATTTATTAGGCTTCATAATGTCTAATTCCCTTTGTTCTCTTCCTTTATTAATATCTTGCTACTTACACTAACATATTTCCCCCCTGAAGAACCTTGGACCTTATAACTTTATAAGGGTAGTAAATGGATGGAGATCTCATCTTTGTAACATCTTCTTGTTGTCAGAGAGCATAGTGCTGCCGGTCCACAGACCCAGAGATTCTTCCTATCTGCCAAAGAAAGAAAGGAGCAAAAAGGGGGAGACCTCACACAGGGAAAAGGGGTTATTGTAAAGTCCAGGTTAGGCTGTTGCTGTCCTTGGGAGGCGGCACATGTTATATCTAGAGGATGGCGCTATTGGACAGGCTGGCATTCTATTCTAGAGGTGACAAATTTGACAAAAAGGTTAAAAAGGCTTAGTTCAAAAATGAGGAGAAATATAGCAACTAAAGGGGTGGTGAGTGGTAAGAACCAGATGATAGAAGGAGTGTTCCAGATTAAATTGGAGGAGGAGCCTCCCTGGAGAAAGGTGTGTCACACGTTTGAATCCCTCTTGTTTATCATACTTAAATTGAAATTAGGCTAAAGGGAACATTCTAAGATTTCCCTTCTGAAGCAGCCTTTTCTGTCTGCACAACTTGGGCAGAAAAGGGAAAGAGTTTCAAGTGAATATGGTAGGACTGCTTTATACTTCACTGACACAACAATTTAGTCCTGACAATAAGTTAATCCAGCCAAACCTGAGTCTCATTTTCAGATGTGGTGATGAGATGGGCTTTCAAAGTGAGGCCCATACTGTGTGAACAAACCATTTGGTAAATAATGTCATAGACATATAAGCTATGAAAATAGAAGGAAGAAAAAAAAAATACAACAGTTAATGAACACTGCTAATCATAAGTCAATTTCTGAGTCTGTAAGACTGCCAGCAGAAAAGATTTCTAGTCCTGGCCAGATGGCTCAGTTGGTTGGAATGTTATCCCATACACCAAAAAGTTGCAGGTGTGATTCCTGGTAAGGGCATAGGTTTCAGTTTTGATTCCCAGTTGGAGCACATACGGGAGGCATGAAATCAATGTTTCTCTCTCTCCCTTCCTCTCTCTACAACCAACAAACGTATCCTTGGGTGAGAATTAAAAAAAAAAAAAGAGAGATTCCAAAATGGCGATGGAGGAAGTGGAAGCTACACTGATACTCTGCCAGGAACAAACTGGAAATACAACTAAAGTATAGAAAAACGACTCTGAAAAGTCAATGAAGACTAACTGGAGAGAACCCTGATAACTAAGGATGGAAAGTGGAGACTGCATAGAGACTGGTAGGAAGTGTGGAGGCATGAAAGGGCTGGCCAGGCTCCCACAGACAGCAGCTGAAGTTCCTGACGGATATCTCAGCTGTAGAGGGTTCCCACTGAGAACTCTGGGGTCTAAACCAGTTGGGCTTCCCAGCCAGCGCACCAGAACTGAGAAAGGCGTGCACATAACATCTGGTTGTGAAAAGAAGCAGGTCATAATCTGAAAAGAAGCAGGGTTTATTTCTGCCAGGGAGAGAAGACTGGAAATGCAGGTACCTCTTAAAGGGCCAACCCACAAAATTTCATGTGTAGCTACACAACTTGAGCTCTGGCAGAGGGAGGGCAGAGTGGCCTGGAGCTGTGTGAGCAGAAGCCAGGTTTGGGGCCTCTGGGGTTGGAGCTTGGAGTGCAGCCACCCTGGTTTTCTTTGGTCAGTCATTCCCTCACACTGGAGAGGAATCTTTCTCCGGTTAACCTTTGCTATTCAGGAAGTTTTTGTCTTGGAAGAAGGCAGCAGTTGCCCCACCTATTGGAAGACCTATTGCCCTACCCTGTGGTATATAGCCTGAGGCTAATCAAAACTGAGTGTCATTGGGACTGCGGGCAGTGGTGGGTCTCTGCAGGCTTTGGGTCTTTGCCTGTTCTAATCCAGGGCTAGGAAAAGCAGACCCTGGTGCACATCTTGGTCCTTTCCAAAGGCATCCAGCCCAACAGAGGTAGCCACCAGCTGTTGATTGCTGATAGCTCCAAACAGGGTACTCAGGTACAGTAACAGCATCTGACATTGTCCTGCACTAGCGATTGGGACTCATACCAGATCACTAATACAGAGACACAAACCCAAACAGGCAGTCAAAATGGGGAGACAAAAATACAAGGCCCAAATGAAATAACAAGAGAATTCTCCAGAAGAAGAGGTAAATGAAATGGAGATAAGAAATTTATCAGACATAGAGTTCAGAATAATGATGGCAAAGATGCTCAACAGTAAGATAAAATATATAGTAACTATGAAGAATGACATAGCACTAAGAAAGGACATAGTGGAAGGAATAAGCAGTGGGTTAGGGGAAGCCTAGGATTGGATCAGTGAATTAGAACTTGGGAGAAAAAAATCAATCAGAGAATCAAAAAGAAAAAACAAGGAAAAAACAGGTGGACAGCTTAAGGGAGCTGGGATACCATGAAACATAACAAATTCACATAATAGAAGTGTCAGAAGGAGAAGAAAGTGAGCAAGAGAGAACTTCTTTGAAGAAATAATGGCAGAAAACTTGCCTAACATGGCGAAGAAAAAAGTCACAAATCCAGGAGGCAGAGTCCCAAGCAAGAAGGACCCAAACAGGTCCATGCCCAGACACATCATAATTAAAATTCCAAAAATTAAAGAGAAAATCTTAAAGGCAGAAAGAGAAAAGCAATTTGTTACTTACAAAGGAGCTCCCCTAAGACAGACACCTGATTTCTCATCAGAAACTACAGGCCAGTAGGGAATGGCATGAAGTATTCAAAGTAATAAAAACCAAGGATCTGAAACCAAGATTATTATATCCAGCAAGGCCATCATTCAAAATAGATGGTAATATAAAAAGCTTCCCAGAAAACAAAAAACAAAAAAAAGCTAAAGGAGTTTATCACCAACAAAACCAGCACTGCAAGAAATGCTAAAGGGACTGCTGTAATGAGAAGAAATATATAGGGAGAGAAACATAGGCATAAAGAATTAAAATGGCAATAAATAAGTACCTATCAATAATAACTTTAAGTGTAAATGTCCAATCAAAAGACATACTAGTACAGTGATGGTGAACCTATGACATGCATTTTTTGGTTGGTTTTTCTTTGTTAAATGGCATTTCAATATATAAAATAAATATCAAAAATATAAATCTTTGTTTTACTATGGTTGCAAATATCAAAAATTTCTATATGTGACACAGCACCAGAGTTAAGTTAGGGTTTTCAAAATTCTGACACGCTGAGCTCAAAAGGTTCGCCATCACTGTACTAGTAGGTTAGCTGAATGGATATAAAAACATGACCCAATTATATGCTGTCTACAAGAGACCCACCTCAGAACTAATGACTCACACAGGATGAGAGTGAAGGGATGCAACATTTTTCCAGGCAAATGGAAAAAAAAAAGCTGGGGTAGCAAAACTCATATCTGACAAAATCTATACTAATAAAAGGGTAATATACTAATTAGACCAGACATCTTCCAGAAGTCCTTCCGGATAAAGCTAGGGTGGTGGGCCCAAGGCAAAGGTGGATAGGGGTGACCAGGCTGGCAGGCAGGTGAGTGGTTAGGAGCCAGCGATTCCAGATTGCAAGAGGGATGTCCGACTGCCGGTTTAGGCCCAAGCCCACAGACATATCTATACTAATAAAAGGGTAATATGCTATTTAGACCAGGCATCTTCTAGACATCATTCTGGACATCCTTCCGGACAAAGCCAGGGTGGCAGGGCATAGGCGAATAGGGGCTATAGCTTTCCAGTTAAGCAGGCTCAATATTGGATTCAGCTTCCCAGTTTGCTAGGCTTCTTAATGTCTGGTTCCCTTTGCTCCCTTCCTTTATTAATATGTAGCTACCTATACTAACAAAAGGACCCCAATTTCTCTGCATAAGAAGCCTTGCAAAAAGTAAGATGGGCATTCACTTCAGAGTGTACAAAGGAGATCCAAGATGGTTGAGATTATGTAAAGAACAGAGAGATACCAGATGGTTCACAGGTGGGGAAAACGGGCTCTATTTTCCCAGTGTGCTCAGCCTGTTGGTCCTGCCATTCTTTGATGTTGGTTTAGTGGAGGAGGGGACCTTGAGCAGGGACTCTCTGGTGAGAGCAGGAAGTAAAAGTAGAGTCCAGGATGGCAAAATCTTGACAGTGTGGCTTCCAGTCCACTGCATTCAAGTGTGAATTTGTAAAGACAAGCCATAGTTGTTGTAACCAAGACAGTTAAGGTCATTTAATTGCTACTGGTTGTGAAGCAGCAGCATTTTTTCTTTTCAGAATGATTTTCTTTGAAGCTCCTCTATGCCTTCTCAGCTTGGCTCTTCACCCTCACTCTACAGCATTTTTGCTTTTTGCCAGGATGTTAGAATCACCAACAGATAGCCGAACAAAGCACACTGTCCCCTCCACCATTCTTTCAGTTGACCAAGAGGCTCTCTCCCTAGTACCATGCAATTGTAGGGAGGTGCTTCCTGGGGTTCCTCAAAAACTTTGGGCCAAGAAGGGTACCTGAGACAGAGCAGGTTATAACTTACCTACATGAAATGTCAGCATAAATCTGTAAACTTGAAAAAATAGCATTTTAATGTTCTATAATCTTGGCCTGAGGGTTTTGTTGTTAATGATGTTATGATCTAGTTTATGCTGGTTTATCCTGACCTTCATCTTAGTGGAAGTTCAGTCATAGATTTCTGGCCCCAGCTCTAACTTGAACCAGCTGTGTCTCTTTGAGAAAATTATGGTTCTAGGACCAAAAGGAGCTTGAGAGAAGATCTGATCAAACCCCTTAGATGAAGAAATGAGGTAGTAAATGAGGTCAGGAAATGAGAGATGAAGAAATTGAGGCACAGAAAGGTTAAGTACTTAGCCCAGCATCGTCTGCCACATCCCCACAGATCCTGACTTTGTAGGCTTTGATTTTGGAGTTTTTAAAATGGACAGTTTAGAGTAGATTTTCCCTAATTCTTCCATCTCTAAATTTCATAATTGTATCTGTTTCCATGTTGTACATAAATTGTATCATTTAACTTTCTACAGAGTCTGCCAAGTTCAATAAAGTTCAATAAAGACAACAAAAATGTAACAATTCTTTTCCACTTAGAAGCTTTTTCCAGGGCTTCCTATTACCAGTTGGCATTGGAGCAGCTGCATAGCCACCCTGAGGCCCTGGAAGCTCTGGGCACTCCTCTCAACACTCACTATCTCCAGCTCATGGACAAGTACAACTTTGTGGACATTGCTGATGCCAAGGTAACGTGCTCCCCAGCAAACTAGGCTAGGTGCCTACTGAAGGATAGGAGGGGCTGCCCAGTCCGAGAGGCAGCAGGAGTAAGGATTTGGGAGAGGTACTACTTGGGACCTTTTAAAAACAATTGGGGATTAATTTATTCTCGTGCATTTTTCTTCTTTTTAGGACAGTTGATGTGGCAGGGAATGCAGTGTTTCTGCTCAAGTGCCATTTTGAACTGATAGAGAAATGACCAGTGGTAGTTTGCCACCACATATTTCAGCTTCAAACTTGAAATATATCTACAGCCAGTTAACTCTTATTCAAATGTAAACAACTTTTTTAAATTTTAGTTTTGAAGCTTATTTATTTACATTGATTGTCTGGAATGCCAATCTGTTTTTTCCAGCTCTATTTTGTCTTCTTTCATAGTTTACCTGTTAAACCTCAGCCGAATATAAAATGCATTTGTGTTGAGTACATTCTGAGCTAGAAAAGTGATTCTAAGTTGTGTGGGGAATACAGAAATGCAGAAGGCTTTCTGAGAGTTTATAGTTTAAAATTCCAGAATAAGACAGGGTGAAGCAAATACTAGAGTAAAGGCTGTGAGTGGAGTGGTTAGTGGACTGGGGGCAACTAGAAGGCTGCAGCCTCACTGTGTGAGGTGCACACACTTGATTCTGTGGCCAGCAGGAGCTCTGAAGTATTTTGAAAATAAGGGTGTGATGCTTTGACCTAGTTTATTTTTTTGTTACTGTTTTTATTTTATTTTTCATGGAAATAGTTTTATTGTGTTTTTTTTTTCTTAACTATAGTAGCAATTTGTGCTCAACTATTCTGATAAATATTTGGTCTGGTTTTAAAGCAAGGTGAATTCATTCAGATTAGGAATACCCAGGGACTGGAAGCCTTTAGGAGAGCATTGTGGCCACCTGGGTGTACAGTGGTGTGGGCATGATTCAGAGCTGTGGGCTAGAGGAATGAGAGCTGGATATGAAGGCTATGGTGGTTGCCAGGTGATAGGACTGGGTAACAGTTTTGTGGCAGGAGAGAGGTGTGTCAGAGATGATGCTCTAATGTCTAGCATGGATGAGTGGAAAGACAGTGGTGCCATTAAGTGAGAGAGGGAACCCCAAGGAGAAAAGGGAAGAGAGTGGACGTGTATTGAGTGCCTGCTCTGTGCCTGCTAGCCTTATTTTCATTGTCTTCAACTTCCTCACACCATGTGGTGTGGCTCCTCTGTGTTTCACCATCTCTGTTCACTTGGCTGGATCCCTGCAAGCACAAGGACTCTGAATGGCCAGAGATTGGGTCCGGCTATTCAGGGTGTCTCCCAGCTCAGAGCACAGGGCCTGGCTGCGATGCTCAAGAAGCCTGCAAGCACCTTTGCTGAAGGCAGGTTGATGCAGCATCAGCTCTCTGATCTGGTGATCCAGTGACTGGGACACCAAGGTAATTTCAGTGGGAACCTTCTCTGAAAGCTGGCCAGGCCCAGCTCTTCCTTTGGCCCAGTCTTCTAGCACATCTGGCTGCTGCTGAGAGGCTCTTCCCGCCCGCAGCCCAGGCCCTCGGTGGCTGTGTGACGGTGTCGGCTGTGGTGCCGGGCACTGGTCTCTGCTGCTGCTGAACCCTGTGAGAGCAGTGACAGGAGTTCAAGCCTGCTCCCCAGAGCCTCCTCTCGACCCAGCCTTTGCTCTTCCAGTTTGTACAGTATGTGTGACATCCTGTCAGGGTTCTTCACTTCCTTTACAATCGGCTATTTATTAGGTTGCCTCTATATAACACAGGGCATCTTATCCCCAAATCCCTACTTGGAGTTTCTTTATTTTGTTCAGAGGTGAGAAGTTTCAGTTTTTCATAAGGAGCTGTCATATTGAAGGGTTTCCCCCCCAAGTATATGTGTGAAATCGTCTCTAACTACCAACACGTTGGCTTATCAGACCTCCTGCTTTACTCTTGGCAAAGTCTGGGCAGTGAAGAACCAAGTTTGTAAAGTACCTCATCACACCCAGAGGCACAACTGCCTGAAGTTCAGACACTGATCCCTCTGCTGTTCTTCAAAATCCTACTTCTGCCCTTTTATCACACATGCATCCCTTTTTTTTGTTTTTCTTTTGGCATGCAGAGATGCTCAATGTATGCTCTGTTGCTTAATTGTATAACCCTCTGAGAAGAGCTGTGGCTTGATTCCAAAAGTAGAACTCTGAAGAATCACTCTGAGTGACTTGGGGTGTGGAGCCACCATTCCAAAGTCTGTGTCTTTAAAGTGTATTTAAATAAATGAAAGAGGATTTTGGAAAACACTAATATGTGTACCCAAGCACTCTTTCTCTCGGTGACAGTTTGCTGTGGATAAGATACACCATCTCTCAGCCCATGAAAGTACCTTTGCCTATCACCTGGGCATAGGAAGGCACCCTGGGAGGCGCCTTGTGATGGGTTTCCTTGTTACAACATTGTGTCCCCTTCACTTGGCTCAGATTGTCTTTAGTTTTCATTGAGAAACAAAAGATTGCATTCAATATTTTTTAAATAGTAGCATATTAGTAAACACCTACCAGCTCACTCTGAGGTTCCCAAGCTCACTCCCTAGGCTCGGGGCATGGCAGCATCCAGGCAGCACCTGTCCATGTGGGGTGAGCCCAGCCTGTGGGGGGTGACTGGTGAGGATGAACTAACCAAGATTTCCTTGTCTTTCCCAAACGAGCCTTTACATTTTTCTTAAGACCTGTTCTTTATGGTCCAGGTTAAAATGTGTACCAATTTGCTGGTAATAGTTTCACCTTTTAAACAGTGGACTTTTTTTCCCCCCGTCTACTTTATTGTGAAAAGTTTTAAACATACAGAAAAAAATAAAAGAATGTATGCTGCGGAACTCACATAGTAGCTACCTGGATTCTACAAATAGTGTTTTGCTCTACTTGCTTTATCCCATACCTATTCATCTAGCCATAATAAGGTTTGTCCATGAACAACTTACTATTTTCAAATATCCACATACTTGATCTTTAAACACATAAGAATATATATCATTAACTAGAGTTTAATATTTGTGTATGGCTCTTTCTTTTTTAGGTAGAATTTACAGTCTGTGAAAAGTACAATTTAAGTGTCTTATTTGATGAATTTTAACAAGTACCCTTCAAGCTCCTTTCTAGATGTGGACTGTTCCCAACACCTGATAGTTTACTCATGCTGTTTCCAGTTGGTCCCCTCTCACATCCGCCAGCCCGAGCAGAGGCAATCACTTCTCTGATATTCCCCCCCCCAGTGTACTTCAGCCTGTTCTAGAGTATGCAATTCCTGTTGGGTGAGGCTCTTTTCACTCAGCATGTTGTTAATACTCATCCATATTGTTGCTTGTATCAGTAGTTCTTTTCTAACTGGATTTTTAAGTAATCATTGCAAGTACTCAGAGTATTGAGTTTGGCATATAAGGTCTCCTTGCTAAATAAGAGGGGGCTGCCTTTGACCTCACCAAACCATCCAAAGTGGGGCAGGACATTGGGAGGGGGCCAGATAGAAAACCAGGTGGATTCTCCAGGAAGGCTGAAGTTAGAAAATAGCCAGATTCTGTAGATAAGCACTGGTTTTTATAGGGTTAGCTCTATCATTTTTTCATCTCTTGAGAGGACAGCGACATATCTAATTATATCTCTCATTTTACACTTGTAGTTGAAGATTCCTGTCTCTGGATCCAAGTCAGCAGGCCATCTCTATGTCATCTCCTCCAGGGAGGCCCCCTTTAAAAGGTATTATGGGAAAGTGGGTGTGTATGGAGGAAGGGGACCTCCTGATGGGAACAATCCTGATTCCCATTTTCATTTGTAGTTATGTAACTGTGGTAATAGGAATTACTTTTTCAAAGCTTGAAAAGCTTTACAGCCAGGACAGCAAGCTGGTGCTTTGGCTCTTAGTCCAGACATTTTATCCAGTGCAATCCACCAAATTGTCTACTCCTTATTCTGCTGAATATGAAGAACTTGACAGTTACAGTGTAGGTCTACAATAATTTTACACTTCTGACACTACTGCCTCAATCATTACATATAAATAAAGACATGGCTTCCTATTCCAAAACCATTCAACACATTCTTTATATAAGTTTTGCATACCATTAATTGGCTTTACTTGTCTGGTTGCCAAAAGCTGTATTCACTCATTTCCTCAGGGAAGCTCTCTCAGAGATGCTGGCTGTTTAGCCAGGATGTGTTTTAATTCCCTAACACAAAATGAGCAGGTCGCTGTTAGGCCGCCCCCTCGTGCCTCCCCCTCATGAGCACATTGACTACAAAGTCTGGGATTAGTGGAGGAGCTGGCCAGGTTCTAGCCAAGAATTGAAGGCCCAAGTGAATGAGGAAATGGGGAGTAAGGTGCTCCTTTTCCCCGAGGCCCCTTCAGTTTACCCATCAGTCATTCATTGGTAGCTTGCCTTGAAATGGTGCTGGTTAAATAATGAGAGCCTATAATCAAACATAAGCCCTAGCCAGTGTGGCTCACCCTAACCATCATTCTGGTCCAGGAGGTTGCTGGTTAGATTCCTGGTCAAGGGCACATGCCCTGGTTGCAGCTTGATCCCTGGGTATGGGGTGTGCAGGAGGCAGCTAATTGATTTTCTCTCTCTCTCTCCCCTCCTGACCTCCCACCCTCTTTCCCTCCCTCCCTCTCGCTTGAAAAATCAATAAACTACTCTTTAAAAATAAATAAGATGTGAAAATGTTATGTTCGCCTCGTTATAACATGAATTAGTGTTTACAAAATTTAAGACAATATTCCAAACACCTGTTTTTTCCCCCCTTTTGACCATTTGACCATGTCATTTGCCAGTGTTTTCTGGATTACTTTTGGTTTCTATCAGGTGGCACCTTCAGGAGGTCTTCTTAGAGCTCAAGGATGGTCAGCAGATTCCCGTGTTCAAGCTCAGACAGGAGAATGGTGATGAAGTAAAAGTGGAGTAAAGGTGATCAAAAAGACCCAGCTTTCTCCAAGCACGGCCTTCCCTCATCAACATGTCCCCTCTATGCCCTCGAGCCAGTTTTCCAGCCACCAGAGCGATGATTATATGTGCTGGCATATGGTAATTTTAATTCTGATTCGACCACAATAAACACTATTGAGATTTTACTTAATCAGACAGAAATGTTTACTATAAGTTTATAATTATTTGAAAGTTCTCTACAAAGGCACAGACTAAAAGGCATCAGTATTAATGAGATGTTTGTTGATTTGCTGGTTCTCATCTCTTTTCTTTTCCTCTCCCCAAGCGCTCCTCCTACTTTTCAGCTGCGTCAGTGAGAAGAAGATTTACTCAAGAGGTTTTTAATTGTCCATGTTGGAATGCTCAGGAAGTACAGCCTTTTGTATCAGTCACTCTACCCTGAATTCATATTGTTCAGTAGCTTGTGGACATTCTCATTTTGTAACTTACTGCTTCATTGTTGTTTTATTTTCTAATTTGTTTTTTAGTTTCAACTGTTTGCCCAAATAAAGGTTTGAAAAATAGCTGCTTTACTTAAAACATTTGGAAAGCCTAAAAAATTTGTATCAGTACATAAGCACATGTAAAACATAGGAAAGTTAGAACTAATAGGTCCTTATCCTCAGCTTTCCAAACAACTTAACCACATATTAGAGAACCAGACTTTTAGCTTTTTGGTAGTTTTATAAAGGGACTGTTTTATAAAGTCAAAGATCTTCATTCCCTCTGAGCACCAGAGCCTACAAAAACTAGAGGTCAGGTACCTTTGTTTTAAAGAACTTAACATAAATGTATATATAACCCACGGACACAGACAATAGTGCAGTGAAGGCCTGAGGATGGAATGGGAGCAGAGTAGAGGGATTCAGTGGGGGGTGGAGGATGGGGAGTGGGATATCTTTAATACTTGTAACAATAAAGATAAATAAAAAAAAAAACACAGGGCCAATTTAACCCTCTTAGTATTATAGGCTTCATGCAATTATAATTGTCTACAATAACAGACATGCTTGAGCTCTTTTCCTACATTCTTTTTTTTCTTTCTTTTTTTAAAATCTTAATTATTGAAAGTATTACAGATATTCCCCCTTTTTTCCCCTGTTGCCCCCTTCCACCCAGTTCCTGCCCTGCCCTAGGCCTTCATCACCCTAATGTCTGTGTCCAGAGGTAAGATCTTTGGTTAATTTCTTCCTGCTCCTCCTCCCCTCTTCTGAGATTTGTCAGTCTGTTCCTTGCTCCCATGCCTCTGATTTTATTTTATTCACCAGTTTATTTTGTTTATTAGATTTCTTGTTCTTTTATTTTGATTTTTAGGTTCAATTGTTGATAGATATGTATTTGTTGCCAGTTCATAATTTTTAACTCTTCTTCTTCTTCTTCTCCTCCTTCTGCCCCTCCTTCCCCTCCTTCCCCTCCTTCTCCTCCTTCTCCTCCTTCTCCTTCTCCTTCTCCTTCTTTCTCCTCCTCCCTCCTTCCTTTCCCTTTTCCTCCACCTTCTCCCCTCCTCCCTCCTCCTCCTCCTTCTCTTCCTCCTCTTCCTCTTCCTCCTCCTCCTCCACCTCCACCCCCTCCTCCTCCTCCTCCTCCTCCTCCTTTCTCTTCCCCTTCCTCTTCTTAAAGAATACCCTTCAACATTTTATGTAATTCTGATTTGGTGATGATGAACTCCTTTAGCTTTTTCTTCAATTCTAAATAATAGCTTTGCTAGGTAGAGTAATATTGGTGATAGATCCTTACTATTCATCACTTTGAATATTTCTTGCCACTCCCTTCTTAACTTCAAAATTTCTGTTGAGAAATCAGCTGACAGTACCGGTGCACCCTTGTAGGTAACTGACTGCTTTCCTCTTGCTGCTTTTAAGATTCTCTCCTTGTCTTTAATCTTTGGCCTTGTAATTATGATGTGTCTTGGTGTGGGCCTCTTTGGGTTCTTCTTGTTTAGGACTCGCTGTGCTTTTCAGACTTGTAAGTCTGTTTTTTTCACCAGGTAGGAGAAGTTTTCTGTCATTTCTTCAAATAGGTTTTCAATATCTTTGTCTCTCTCTTCTCCTTCTGGCACCCCCATAGTGGGAATGTTGGTATGCTTGAAGTTGTCCCAGAAGCTTCTTACACTACCTTCATATTTTTGGATTCTTTTTTCTTTTTGCTCTTCGGATTGGGTGTTTTTTGCTTCCTCTTATTCCAAATTGTTGGTTTGATTCTCAGAATCCCCAACTCTACTGTTGAATCCCTGTAACTTATTTTTATTTCAGTACTTTAGCATGTCTTTGACATTCTCACTAAGATCCTTGAAAGTCTCATCAAGATCCTGGAGTAACCTTGTAAGCATGGTTTCGAACTCTGTATCCAGTACTTTGCTTGCTTCCATTTCTTTCATTTCTGACATATTTCTTTGTCTCTGCATTTTGGCTGCTTTTCTGAGTTTGTTTCTATGTATTAGGTAGAACTGCTTTGTCTGTGTCCTGTAGGGCCTAGTGGCTCAGCCTCTACAGTCACCTGAGCTGAGCTCTCCAAAGTGCACCCCTGTGTTGGCTGTGTGCACAGTCTTGTAGTTGAGCCTTGATTGTTGTTGGCATCACTGGGAGGAATTGACCTCTAGGCCAATTGGCTGTGAGAATCAGCTGCAACTATAGTGGAAGAGCAGCTGTGCAGGAGATACCCCTATGGAGCAGGACTTGCTTCAATGGGGCTTTGGTGCTCACTGAGTCTGCCTGTGGAGTGTGTCACTTGTGGGTGTATAGAGTTGTAATGTGCTATGGTCTGAAGCTGTCTACTGGGTGCACTGGCTCTAGGGCCTCCAAGGAGGTGCAAAGTCAGCCACTACCTGAGGCCACCTGGCAGGAGCTACTGAGAGATCTACAGATGCCAGCTATTTGTTTTGAGATTGGAAGTTCCCAGGCAAGGCCCAGCTGTGAAGCAAGACAGGTTGGTGTTAGTACTGGGTCTTGGGCCCTTTTACTGATAGGTTTGGGGCATGCTGCAGCTTGTTTATTTTAGCAAAGTCTGAAGCCTGAGGCAGGACAGGCCATGCATATGGAAAAGCTGCTGCAAAGAGCTTGGAAGGGGCTGAAAATTGGATGGGGTGGGGGTCTCGGAATCCCCAGGGTGAAGCAAGCAGTGTATTCCAGGCTGATGGAGATTCAGATATGGCTGCCAGTCAGCCTTGCAACAGGGGAGGTCCCAGCAGGAATAATGACCCCTATGCCCCCTCCGGCCACCCCGTCTGGGAGAAAGCCATCTCCGAGTTCCTGCCCTGATGCCGGACAATCCAGTTTCTCCCCGTATGTGTCCGAGTCCCTGCCTAATTTGGCTCAAGTAGTGACAAGGGCCTGGGACCCACTGTGTCTGGTTTCACTTTGAAAAAGAAACAATGGAAGAGCAACTGGAATAAATAAAAGTAGTTAAGGAAAGCAAACAAACAGCAAGGAGATGTAGATAGGAAACAGGGATGGAAGCTATAATCCCCTAATGTACCTTCTTTTTTAGTTTTGACTTTGAAATCATGTGTTTAATTTTGAGAAATTAAATTACAAAGAAAAATGTTTAAAATATTGAAATAAACAAACCATATAGAGAATAAATATTTCAAGTGACTTTAAAACAGTTCTGACTCAACATCCTTGGTGGGATATATTCTCGTAGCAAAGAGAAACCCCAGAAATCTTAAACTACATTCAGTAGTCTAGTGTTAGTGCGTGTACACACACACACACACACACACACACACACACTTTCTCTCTACATTTGTGACTCCCTTCTCAACAGAGAGAAATCTTCTAGCTCTAGAATTTCGAACTTTAAAAGCAAGAAACCCTACTAACTAGAGTTCAATATATTTTCGCATTTTAAACATAAAATTTAAATACACCAGTCTTAAAGTGTACAACTCTATGTATTTCCATAAATGCTTGCACCCATATAATCCATAGATTTATAAAGATAGCAATTATTTCACCCATTGTTCCAGAAAATTCTCTTGGACTCTTTTCTAGTCAAGCCCCTGCTCTTCCTCTGCCCCCATAAATTTATTTTTGGTGCTTGGGATTTGTTCATGAATTTAGATGACAAAATTGTAATTGTTGAAGCTGGTTGATGGATACATGGGGTTTTCTTTTACTATTTTCTTTTGTGAATTTTAGTCAATGTCCATTTTTATTTTATGTTATAGTGTTAGTTCAGGGTTAGCCTCCTTTGCTGAGTAAGAGGCCACTAAAACTTTCTTTATTCTCCTTCATGAATTATTCTCATAGACCTTGAGGTTTTAAAGTGATAAGTTAAAAAGGTATCAGGACATCTCAGGTGAAAAAGACACACAGTGTGTGATTTCATTCATGTGAAATGTCTAGAACAGGCAAATCCACAGAGACCAAAAGTGGGTGAGTAGTTGAGGGTCTTGGGGAGCAGTAAAGTCACTGCTTATGGGTTTTCCCTTGGAATGATGGAATGTTCTGGAATTACAGGTGCTGGTTGTATAATACTCTGAATGTACTAAAAAAACCACTGAATTATACACTTTACTAGTAAAAGGGTGAATTATATTGCATGTAAATGATATCTCAATAAATATGTTATAAAATCATTTTAAAACCATTAAATAAATACTAGGTGTACTGGTTAATAATGGCGGATTTTGTAATCAAAGAAAACATGATAATTTCAAGAGAAACATCCAAAGTGCTTTATTAAAAGTAATGTTCATTGCTAGCTATACATTTCCCACATGTTTTAGGTAATTTGTGGATACCATCCCAATAGAACTTTTCTTGTTTTGAGGCAAACCATTCATAGACCCAATTTTCCACTTCTTCGTATGTTTTGAAGCGCATGTGACATGGATCAGAACAAGTGGTAATCTGAAGGAGCCAGGTCTGGTGAATACAGCGGGTGGGTTAAACGTGTCTTTAACTAGTTTTGAAGTGTGTGATGGTGTGTCATCGTGAAGCAAAATTACTTTGCCGTGTCTTCTGGCACATTCTGGTCAAGAGGCCACTAAAACTTTCTTTATTCTCCTTCATGAATTATTTTTATAGACCTTGAGGTTTTAAAGTGATAAGTTAAAAAGGTATCAGGACATCTCAGGTGAAAAAGACACACAGTGTGTGATTTCATTCATGTGAAATGTCTAGAACAGGCAAATCCACAGAGACCAAAAGTGGGTGAGTAGTTGAGGGTCTTGGGGAGCAGTAAAGTCACTGCTTATGGGTTTTCCCTTGGAATGATGGAATGTTCTGGAATTACAGGTGCTGGTTGTATAATACTCTGAATGTACTAAAAAAACCACTGAATTATACACTTTACTAGTAAAAGGGTGAATTATATTGCATGTAAATGATATCTCAATAAATATGTTATAAAATCATTTTAAAAGCAATAAATAAATACTAGGTGTACCGGTTAATAATGGTGGATTTTGTAATCAAAGAAAACATGATAATTTCAAGAGAAACATCCAAAGTGCTTTATTCAAAGTAATGTTCATTGCTAGCTATACATTTCCCACATGTTTTAGGTAATTTGTGGATACCATCCCAATAGAACTTTTCTTGTTTTGAGGCAAACCATTCATAGACCCAATTTTCCACTTCTTCGTATGTTTTGAAGCGCATGTGACATGGATCAGAACAAGTGGTAATCTGAAGGAGCCAGGTCTGGTGAATACAGCGGGTGGGTTAAACGTGTCTTTAACTAGTTTTGAAGTGTGTGATGGTGTGTCATCGTGAAGCAAAATTACTTTGCCGTGTCTTCTGGCACATTCTGGTCATTTCATGATCAAAGCGTGGTTCAAACTGATTATTTATTGTAGGTATTAACGGTTTCATCTGTTTTAGAAGCTCATAATACATCACACCTACCTGATCCCACCAAACGCAGAGCATTGTCTTCTTTCTGAAGCGATTTGGCCTTGCAGTCGATGTTAATGGTTGACCTGGAATAACACATGATTTTGTCCATTTGGTATTCTCAAAATAAATCCACTTTTCATCGCCAGTCACAATTT